AGAGGGACTAAATCATATACAGTTTAAACCCTCTGTAATTATGGAAATATTAAAGAAACTGAATCCCAATAAGTCCCCAGGAATCGACGGTATTCACCCAAGAGCATTCAAGGAGTGTGGTGAAGTTCTGCGTGCCCCACTAACAAACATCTTCAAATGCTCGTTTCTGGAAGGCGGGTTACCCTCTGATTAGAAACGGGTGGCTGTCGTCCCGATTTGTAAAGGTGGAAACAAACTACTCGCCTCCAACTACAGACCAATCTCCCTGATCTCTTCAGTTGCGGAGGTCATGGAGAGTTATAAATGACTAACTACGTGATCACTTACTTCAGAAATCAATCCTAAACGACTATCAGCATGGCTTTCTACCAGGAAGGTCATGTAACACCAACTTGTTGATAGCTTGGAATAGCTGGACACTCTCCGTCTAGAAGAAAAAGCCTATACACATTGGTTTACTTGACTTTTCTAAGGCATTTGACAGGGCAAATCATGATATCTCTTGTGAGAAACTCCAGCTCATGAGTGTACACGGAAAATTTTTAATCTGTTTCAGAGATTGTCTGTACATCAGGGTACAGTCATTTAGAGTCTGCTCCTCTCTGATTAGTTCCCGATGCTGAGTGGCGTGCCTCAAGGTTCCATACTGGGCCCACTACTGTTTCTTGTTTTTATCAATGACCTACCAGGGGTCCTTGATTCACATTCACCATTATATGCCGATAATCTGAAGGTCTGGAGGGAAATACGAAAACCAACGGATATTTCGATCTTCCAGGAGAACTTTACGAAAATCCTTAATTGGACTACAGAAAACCTGCTTCGTCTCGGCTCGAAGAAGTGTCGAATTATGATAGTTGACAAACATGAAGGCAGTCCCAGTTCTTACTGCCTAGGTGAACCAAATATCTGTCACTCTGTAGCGTCGCATACTTCTCCAAAATCAATAGCCTAGAGTTTGACGACTTTCGACATTGATGCTGACCTTGATAGTTTAACTTGACTGGCTAAGCTGAAGGCACCCGGTCAGGCATCCTCGCCATTTGGCACGCTGTTGCGTTACGTTGCACTGCTCGTATTTGACCCTTTAGCCAATTAGTTGGAACGCATCGGTATTTCGGCACAACCATCCAAATATACTATTCCATCCGGCTACGCTATCTTGTTCTTCCTTGGTCTGGTACTTGTGGGTATATAACAAGTTCGAATAATTAGTGATTGGTCTTTGCATCTGTCAAGTTCGCACCAGGACAAATCCTAAAACTCTAACATGGAACAAGATCTGGGAGTTACACTAAATGATACACTAGGAGCCTCCGTTCACTGTCGCCTTGCAGCCAATAGGGCTCATGGAATCCTGGGGTTTCTCTCGCGAACCTTATGGTGTCTAACTCCTTTTTTCAACACAGTGTATACTCTGTACATTCGCGCTCATTTAGGAAAAAATTCCCTTGTAATGTCCCGATACTTCATAAAGGACATTGCTATCCTAGAACGGGTACAGAGAAGAGCTACAAAGAAAGTGGTTGGGTTACAGCACAAACCGTACCCAGACCGCTAAGTTTCTCTTCAGCTGTACCGAGTACAACACCGAAGGATCAGAGGGGATATGATCATGATGTACCATATCGTCCATAATCCCCTCCATCTCAACAGATCCCTTCTAAGCTTTAGTCGGAAACGCGACTTGAGGGGTCACCCGTTAAGAATAGAGCATGAGACAGCACATACAACGATCCGTGCTAACTCATTTGCAGTTAGAGTCTGTAAACTGTGGAATTCCCTCCCTTCATCACTTGTTACAGCCCCATCCCCTGATACCTTTAAAAGGAGGCTAGACGCACACCTCGAGTCCTACGTTACCGATGGGCTATACTCGAGAAGCTTTCCGCAGATCAGATGCAGTAATACTAACTTGAGACCAGATTAATTAGTTAATCGTATCTCTATCCTTTCAGGTTTTTCAGAAACGGGAAGATAATTGTAACCATTCCGAACTCAGAACGTATTCCAAAAAGACAGACGTAGAACCCAAAGAACCACAGTTCGCTAATTCTACAACACGAAGTTTGAAGTTTGTCCATTTGAACCATCTGAAAAGTAATGAAGGGTTATGGTGTTCAGGTTTGTGTTGGCGCGCTCCTTGAGTAATGACGTGTTTCGCTCGTCTCTCAGCTTTTGGATTTTTCCACAATGAAAAACTCCCACTTGCAATACTCAATCTAAAAACATCGAACGTTTGCAGCACTTCTGTCCGTCCACGCACCTCACCCCTGCGCATTCGTCAGCTCACTCCTCAACAGTTGAAAATTGGCATTATTATTCCTTTGAACCAACCGGTCTACCTCCTGTCAGTGGTTCTTGGGCGTTTCAACTGCCAAACTGCCTTAGCTCTCGGTTCTCCTCGGAGGTCATTCCCCAGGAAATATCTTTCCTGGTTATACATACGCATCTGGAGCTTACGGTTAAACTCGTTGGTCAAGAGCAGAGGATCAAGTGACAAGTGTCTGAAGGTGAGCCAACATAAATTATCTTCCCTTTTCTATTCTGTCCTTTTGCTGCATTCAGTCTTCAACCCTCTTATTGTTGTTAACTACTTGTTTTCCCAAGAAGTTTATATCATAGCGACATGTCTGCCCAAAACGCTAGGTCTGAAGCTTTGACACGGATAACGCGGTCGTGCACAACAACGGCCAGTAACACCCTAAACAACACACTAGTCTGTACTAGAAGACAAACAGAGGTAGGGCAGAACACCGAACTTCTGAAGAAGTGGCCAACCCATGTTTCTAGAATTCCAGTCGCCATCAGACAGGTGACACAGAGTAGCACTAGCCCGTCACAAACTAGTCCTATCTTGAGCAAGGATCATACCATGCCTGAAATAGAAGACGACGTAAAAGGCTTCAGAACAAGGCAGCCACAAGCAGTTCGCCACAATCCGTAGCACCTTATTCATGGAAGGAAGGCTGTATTACGACACCCGATGGCTGCAGTGTTTGCACCAAAGTTGTTTCGGTAGTCGATGAGGCATTTGCATGCAACCTGTGTCAACGATGGGCGCATTGCCACTGCGATACCAAAGTCCCCCGACAATACTATAAGCTGATGAAGAGACAACCATGCAAGTGGTTCTGGTACATCTGTCCAGAGTGCAGGAAAATGCCCGCACTCCGCACAGAAAGCCTGAAGGAGATGCTCTCCGCCACGCAAAAGCTACCAGCATCCTCGAATAAAGTAGGGTTAACACCAAAGGATAACACAGAGAGACCTGGAAACAGACCTAGAGCTCCAGCTGTGGGCACGCCACCTCGCGTGGGGACCATATTAGGTCAAGTCTCCATACCCCCACCCGGCCCCAGGGGACGTCAAGCGCATGGCCAAAGACATCGACCGCCGAAGCCTCTACGAAACCCATTCCGAACACCCCACACACCGTGACTGAGAAACAACCAGTGGAATTACTCAAACCCATTGGGAAGTCGGGCGTGCCACCCACAACGAACCCAGGTCACAGGAGGACCAACTCGATCATTTTGTTCAACGTCGATGTATCGACAGACTCATTGTTGGTCGAGAGGGAACAATTTGACAGCCGAATGTGGACCGACTACTGTCAGATGCTGGGACTCCCTCCCCTCCCTGCAACTTTATGTCGCCTTTCTCGAGGAAGCCATGCACCCCGAGATAAGCCACCCCCTTTACGTGTGTCCCTAAATACCGCCAAAGAGGCTGAAGACACACTCCTCCTCTCGCGACAACCGGACGTTGTTAATGCCTGTAAAATTCGGGCCAGGCCTGACAAGCCATGGTCAATAAGAGAGGAGGAGAGAAAGTCAGCGGTTGGAAATCCCAACAGAAACAACACTATAGTTGTACATGGGATTCCAGAATTGCCAAGTGACAGCTCGGTCAAAGATCGGTACTTTCACGACGTCCAACAATGGCAATGGCTCTCAACCAAAGTTGGTCTCAACAGTATACCGGCCAACAGCGTCAGTAGACTGCCAAGGCCAGCGCACCTGAAGACCATACCCAATCCCAGACTACTTGCCGTCCAGTTCGACTCATATGCCTCCCTCACAGACGTTCTGCACGCATGGTATAATGCGAAAGATCGCATGGGTGGCTCAATACGTATATGTGAAAGTAAGCCTAGACCCACAAGGCAAGAGGAGAGACGGCAACCACCAAGACCTCTGGAGTCAGTGGTCGTCACACAGGCGCTGACCAGTGAGTTAGATACATCAAGTAAAGAAGCCACCACTGCTACAGCCCCCACCCAAGTTAAGAACAAAACACAAAAAACGGAACAATGCCAGTCCTATGAGGACTGGCGAGGCTAAATTCAACCACGTAAGCGCTCATCCCGCGAAAATACACATCCAGACCTCCCCTCTCATCAGGCACACTCTAATATGTATGTACAGCAACGTTAGGGGGCTAATAGGGAAGGTAGCAAAATGAGGACGCTGCGTGAACATCAGCACTACGACATCATATTCATCACCGAATCCTGGCTCTCATCGGACATCTCCGACGAAGAGATGCGTGTTGCTGGCATGGAACTCTTCCGCAGGGACAGGGAACATAGAGCAGGAGGGGGAGTGGCTATCTACGTAAACTCCTGTTTAAAGGCAAGGATGGTTAGCGATACGGCCTTAACCCAGCTCCCAGAGTCTCTATGGTGCTACTTCACTCTCTTCTTTATTCTCTCTTCATTCCTTTACCACTACCTTACTATTCTCTTTCAGGTACCTACACAGACAGGAGTCATGGCAGTTCTCTAAACTTCCCAGCAACCCGTAGCTCCCTAATCACTCTACAAATTACAACCTACTAACCCACAAAACATCCACCTCACCGAAGCTAAAAGCAAGAAAGCAGAGGGGATTTCCTCGTCCACTGCAGGAGTAAACCGAACAACTGGAACCAAGCCCTAAGAACTAGACGCGAGAGATCAAAAACTACCAGTTTTCTACGCTCGCACTATCAATATTGGATATTGGAACCAGTTAAGCGCTCTTTTTGAAACGTTTCCCTCAGCTGATTTCCACTTTTTAAAATATGGCTTGGTAAAATTTGTCTGATTATTATCAGCATCGACAGTAGAAGTAGCTGAATTTCGTGCTTAGAGCTATGCAGATAATCTCTTGATTTATCCATACGTTCTCATAATTGTAATTTGTTGGTGAAAATTTCATGAATTCGGAATTCGTTGGTATTTCTGCAGCTAGAAGTAGTGAAAGTGGACCTACAGGTATTATTAAAAACCAAAACATTCAACTCAACGATTCATCACGGTGCATATTAAATAGTGCAATCAGTAAGTTTCTTAATTTAATGCCTATTAACAAAATCATATTCAAATTAAATCATTACTGGTCATCAACATTAAGCATATGGTTTTATGGTTGTTACTTTATTCAATTTTTATATTGAGGCACTCAACCGGCCTTGGTTCCTTCCAGTGGCTGTCAGGTTTATTGAATTTTGGACGGTGTCATTAGGGGTCCGGTGATTTTCTGCAGTATTGACCTTTTAATAATTCTCCATCGAGTCTATCACATGTCACTGGTCCATTCGCTGCTTTTTACCCTTTTAATGTTTATCCCAACGTATTCACAAGTTTGATGAAAGTTTTAATGGGTGTTAGGACAGGATGAAATATTAATATGAGGGAATCACTTGGGCGATGTGGTAGAGCATAATTCCAAAGTGGGTTGTTTATTTGATATGGCACACAGTGACACAGTATAACTTACTGGGTGACATTCGGAGCACAACTTCATGCTCACTCATACCAGTTGGTTTTCTTACAGTGAAACTGTCCGAAAACGACCTGTATGACATATTCTGTGGTTGTGCAAGTCGGCTAGTGGAGATATTGCTCATTAGCTCAACGACAACCTTCGAGATGTTGGCCTTGGATTGGAATCCTGATCTGCCTACTTTGACTTGTGTAACTGACAGACAAAATCAAAGTAGAACGTCTTTCAGAAGTACATCGACTTAATTTACCACACCGAATGGTATCATAAGCCCTCACATAATGACACGTTTCATTATTGTATCTTTATAACAGTTTGGAGTGTTTTTGATACATTTCCTTGTCAATACTAGGGTCATTGTGTTCATACATTTGCTTTCGTGCCTATTGGTCATCTAATTTACTGGTGTGGTTTGTAGCAACTTAAACTGATAGACATTCCTACGGAGTCCTTTATGTTCGTTAAAGGAGTAAAGACATAGTCAGCTTACCTTGGGTTGGAATTAGAACTTCTCGTTCTTGCTGATCACCAGCTAGTCTTCTATTGCATATGGAAGTTTGCGGCTTTATTTGTTTCACGAGTCTTTTATCTGCAAATGCGTGTGTTTATTGTCTTACGGGGAAAGATGTTTGATACAAACACTGCTTTACCGAAGACTTTACTTGGTTGCTCACAGCTGTGAGATAATCGAGAGTAGATTGTTGTTTGATGTTGAAATACGCCGCAAATGCAATTGGAGAGGAAACACTTATACCCCCAGGGGTTAAGTCCCTTTATAAAGTAAACTGAAACGGACAACATGCTTCTTTTAACCTAAGAAGGTGAGTGATTAGTCTCTTAAGCAAAATTAGCAACAGTGTGCTGATGTTGCTGACGTATTTTTACCATTAAGTGCAAAAAGCGACCACCATTCTACATCTATGGCTGATAAGACAGCTACGAACACTATCGGTTTGTGGTTAATAACATTTCACTACGATTTAATAGATTTCATGGGTTACTAAAGCAACAGAGCTGGTCTGAATTCACAATTAAGTGAAGTCAGCGGGCTGTACCGCTTTAATTGCAATTGCTTACGAGGCACCAACGCAGAGACGTCCCGGAGTAGCAGTGGGTATTCGGGTGGTAAAAAACGCATGACACAGTTTAAAATTCCCACTAAGCATGCCCAGTAGAGTCGACATCTTGTCAGCACCGTCAACTAATGGGGACATGTCATGTGTGTATTCTAAGTCTACTAAGGAGTACTCATTGATAAGACAAGTTTGAGTAGTTAGATGATGCAAGGGAGTCCTCCACATGTACATGACAAATTCAAATAAAAATAGTGACAGCACATACATTCAGACGTCTTGTAAGTACAGAAGCTAAAATATTAGACACAATATTTGTCACATTGATTCCTCACCGGTTATCACAAGACAATTTCTGGAAAATCTCATGACTCGGACAGTCAATGATTGAAATCAGTCAGAGATGATCATGCCTGACTCCCACATGCCAACTAACACCCCATTTAATCCAACCAGTGATCTTGCCTACCGTCATCGAATACCTTTGACACTAACCCATCTGGCTCTGCTGCCCATCGTCGTCTCGTCTCAGGTTACTCACAGCTTCCTCGACTCCTGCAAACGTTGGAGGGTCTGTCTTTGCGTTCCACTCATAATCCGAGTGGATGGATAGGAGGCAATCTAGGAGTGTGTGGAGGCCAGTTGAACTGTTACTGGAAATGTTCCACTCATCGTTTGGTACTCACACCTTCAGATGAGTCGTACACCCATAATTCTACCCCACAGTCCCATCAATCATTGATCTTTTTGCCCTAGTTCCCTTGACAATTATAAATATTTGTTTGCTGTTACATATCACCACGGTCTCTCCAACCTCATTATTCTTCTTCAATATCCACCACTCCTCACCGTCAATGCATCATCTGTTTATCAGTCTATCTTCAATTCCCCTACCGTCCTCATTGTGCCCAAAGCAAACAGTAATATGTTCATGTGCATCTACTGGTTCAGGAGAAACAGCTAAAGTTCATTGACCTTTACAAACAACTTTCTAAGAGTCTGTTAGAAACCTAAATACTGAAGATAGTATCAAGCTTTTTCGAGATAACTGTAGTTGTCTTGTTCCAATAAGTGTCTAGTCACTTCCCTGTTAAACACACTCTCAATATTCTCATCATCGACCTTCGCTCAGATTGATTTTCTCCCTGTAGTCTTTCCACACCCACTTTGCACAGACACACATGCTCAAACCGATGATTGATCACTGTTCAGAGATGTGCTTCAGAAGGTGCAACAGTTTTCCACCGATCCTCCTCTTCAGCGATAACTCAAAGCAACATGGTGTATCTAGGTCAATTGTCAAATTGAGGTTTGTGGACAAGTAGTCATATGGCATCTCCCTTCCTATCTGACGTTCATGTTGGTCAGAAATAGATAACTGTCTGAACACAGTTGGAACAGACTCTTGCAGTTATCTCTTCATATTCAGCTGAGATTTCGAAAGTATCATTCTGTTTGACTTAGCCTACACACTTGTATATTGCAACTCATCTGCTACAACAACCACATCTAAGATTTTGGCTTTCACTAGAATAGAAGATCAGATAGTTTTTTTTGGCAATACTTATTATATCAGCATGAATCTCAGATAATTACTACTCGTCATATTATTCAATCTCCTTTAAAGTGTGTTTCAAGTATGACTCAATCGGTAACACTATACAGCACGGCTCAAAATATTTTGACTGATTTGTATTTGACTTATAGTCCGTAAATAACTGCCTGTTGAAAGGAATTGGTTGTTGCATATTACTTCATTTTCTCTTCATGGAATCCGCTGCTTTCGTAGTTTAGATGAACTATGGTGCCTTGTGGATAGGAAATTCAGCTGCATATACACATGATACAGATGGCCAACACACATGGAGAATAATCACCAGAGACATCGTGTTCTATTGTACCAGATTTGAAGGGCTAGATTATGTGACTCATCGTGTTGGGTGAGTTGAGCATGTGAAGTGTGGGAAGTATGTTCGAGAGGAATCACGTGCTTTAGCCAAGTACTACTGCGCAGAACGGTAACAACTCATCCTCCACTTCATCCTAAATAAACCCCAGTGGATATCAGTAGCTTCTGAATTGGTTGATGCACGTGAATGCATCCCTCGAGGCTCTGAGTACAATGAGGAGTGAAAGTAACTCAAATGTAGACTGACAAAAAGTCCCCGTAACGACTGTGAACAGTGATGGGCAGCGAAGTCTAAAGAGATGGAGAAGGTAGTGGAGATAGATGAAAGTAGACAATTGTTTAGACTTATAAGTGAGACTGGAGTGAAAAGGTCAACGGTTAGTGAGACTATATTGTAGAAGGATGGGTTTGCGACCTACTCGCAGAGGAAACGACTGGAACGATGAGCAGAACACTTCAAGGGATAGTTAAACTGGCCTTCAGCTACTATTGTGTTGCCCTCTATCCGGTCGAATCCTGACTGAAATATCGGGATAGACACACGAACACTTGTAGAAGTTGAGAAAGCGGTAGGTATCTAGGAAGAGCAGCAAGACCCGACGGACTGGTTCCTGAGGTACATAAGAATGGTGGATGGGTTCTGGAACACAGGCACACTTAAGGATGTCTGACACTAGTTGTATTTCTCGACCTAGAGATGGCATTCGACTCCGTCGATTCAAAAGTCTTATGTCTATGTCTCTCACTGTAACGAAGTACGAAGTAAGTACATCACCTTATTAACGGCTCTACTCTAACACCTGTGGGGGTGTTAGAGCCTATGGTAAGATGTCGGGTTAGCTGTGTATGTCGAGTGGTGTCCGTCCAAGATACACATTCTCTCCATCATTATTGAACTTTATTATAGATGTTCTTATGCTGGTCTCACTCTCGTCGTCTGACATTACGGGGATTGATCTAACCACAGGAGAATCCTTGGTAGATCTAGAATACGTAGATAATATAATCGTATTCGGTGATATTGATAAGATACAGAATCTTCTGGATACCTTGAGTTTTGATTTAAGAATGTTTGGGTTGCGTTTATCGCTACCGAAATGCGAATCGTTACTCCACGACTTGTCTTCACCGGTGCCCCATCTAACAATAGAGTGAAGTGGTTGAGTGCGTTGAACACTTCAATTACCTGGGAAGTCATATAAGCTCTGCTGCGTTGGTCAGTGGCCGACGAAATCTGTGCACGGATACAAAAGACTCGGCTGGCTTTCACCGCTGTGATATCCGATAACTTAATAATTGTCGAGTGTACCTTACTACAGTCTGTTGTATTCTGATGTATGGCTGCGAAACATGGCTATTGAAGGCAGAGGACATGAGGAGGCTTCTTGTGTTTGACGACCGTTGCCTTCGTAGGAAAGGTCGTGTTTTGTGGTGTCACCATGTGAGTAACGTGGGCGTCAGGCGTAGGGTGTTAGGAAGGAGAGTTATGTCAGTTGATGCGGCTGTGGACTTCCGTCGACTGAAATAGCTGGGACGTGTGTAACGTATGCCTAACCACCGTCTGCCTCATCGCACAATGTTGGCCAAAGTAGGTTCAGGCTGGAAAAAGGCTAGGGGTGGCCAGACTGAAACATGATATCATTGCATGAAGTCTTAGACTGTTAGTTTGAGCGGTGTAGGGCGATGCAAACCAACAGGATGAAGTCCGGGTGACAAAAGGAACCAGTATTTGGAGACTAGGTGATATGGCCCAGAACCGATGTCAGTTTCGCAGATGTATACACACATTATCCTCGCTGTACTGGATTCACCACCTTCTCTTTCCTCTTTTCTATCTTTTATTGCTTTCTACCTCTTTTTACAGATTTTTCCTTCTTTCTTGATCTTCCGTTTAATTGTCTTTTTACTTACTTTGCTGATATAAGGTGTGGCACGGTGTGAACCGTTGTGGAGTAATGCCAGGTCCTATGCTGATTTTGACGATGATGGTAATGATGTTGGGAGCGTTAAACAGTGGTGTGCACCCACACGCCGGCTAAGAATCGAACTGAGGACCTTCAGGTTTCACGGTGAACGCGTTAACCATTCAGGCGTTGGGTCGCGGTCCAATAGTCTTCAGTTTACTGGTTCTGTCATCGTCTGAATAGTGAACGCGTTCCTCGTGAAACCTGAGGGTGGTGAGTTAGATCCCTAGCCGGGGGTTGTGCGTGGGTACTGCTGAGAAATCCCATACTAGGACGAAACAGTTGTCCAGTGTTCCGAGTTCTTTAATGGTTCTCCAACTGATTTCAGTCCGTAATGAATAATACCTTATGAATAAAACCCCCATTAACCTCAAAGTACATAAATTATTTCCAATTTTTAATTCAGAGTCTGCAGAAGTGAGCATTTAACCGGAGTGGCTAAATCAGTGTATCACCGACTACTTTAATAATTTTTAATTCCTAACTGACCATCTACGAAACCCAACCGAATACAGCAAACAAATATCTGGCGAATGACTGACTGTATGAGTAGACATAAATTATCAGTCAGGCGGCTAGTAATCAATCAATAATAATTCACTGACCAGTGAATTCTTACCAGGAACTGTATAGCTGTGTTCCTCTATACTACAAAGTTTTGATTGATAAAATGAATTATGCGTCATGAATCCACTTCATTTTCCTGGTATAAACGTCCAGATAATGTTTTTTAATTGTGGATACTTGTTAAGCATATTGTCACATTTGTTCCTATTCACTAATTATTTTTAATTGACTGATTTATTATTTTTTCATTTTTACCTTTATACCTTTCAGATGAACTTGATGATACTCCTGGGGTACCTTCGCTAACAAACTGCCCTCAAGAAAGCAAGCGAAAAAGTGCCAAATTGTCGTCTAAACATCAGAATGTTGGCAAAATGGATGAGCTATCTACGCGTCCACAACCACCATGTTCTGTTAAATTGATCGATGAAGAAGAACGTATTCTGGTTAGTCAATTTTATATAATACCAGGGATATAGTAAATTATTGGGTAATTTTTTCAGGTCCATAAGGATTGGTGTATTGATATATTTACCGAACAGTATTTTAACTTTAAATGCGCTATACGTTTTTTGTAGGAGAGTACAACCTAACTTACGTTGATCATCAAATTATTTTCAAAATTTAGAAGCTAAAGGGCTGTGTTTGTGTTTACTCCCCTTTGTTATTGCATTCAACCTTTTGTTCAGTTAATCCTCTATTCTTACTTTATATATTCTATATGAACTATAAACAAGATTTAACCGAATCGTATCGCAAATATTGAAAGCTGAGTAAATGGCTGAGACTATATACATAATGTCAGCTATTAGTTTGCGTTTTTGTAAGTCACAACGTGTTTGAAATAAAGTAATTTCAATGTTTTACTCGGAAGTCTGATCTGAGCTTCTTCAGGGAAATACTTAACATATCACTCTTTTTTGAATGTTTCAAAGTCTCATGTTTTTGAATAGAGTAAGCAGTTTCACCTTATTTAATTAGGTTTTTTTTTCTACTTCCTAAAACGTGAATTATCAAAATATATGCTTATAATGAATTGAAGCCTGTCAAATTTCCACTAAAATGACCTATTTTAATGCCTATCACCTCTTAACACTCTGGCTGTGTTGTAACTAACTATTGCTGATCAGTTTCAGGTTTCGTTTGAACTGAATGAAGTTATCGCCTAAGCGATATGGATTTTAGGTGTAGTATGCTAAGTAAAGAGGCAACAGGTAGGATTGAAAAGTAATATGTTTACTTACCTTGATACATAATATTAGAATAGAATAGAAATCTAATCAGGAACGCTGTGTGCATTCATGCAGTAGTCAATGCGCCACACCTATTATAGGAGGGGGTGACGATACTACCTGGTTGTTCAAGCCTCGGTAGGTGGGGCAGTGTTCGAACCGATGGCTGATTGGTTGAAAGTCAACTACCTAAATCAATGAGCCACAGCTCTACAATATTAGCCAAAATTAGGGGGAAATGAAAGAGTGTTCTTAGTGACCGGACCAAGAAATGTTATCAATCCGTCAATTTTGTCTAAGTCATGCCATGAAATACATATTTGAAAAGGCAACCAATGAAGACAGGAGATTTCAACACATACGTAGTGTAACTTAGTGAATGGCTTACGACTCAACTTAAACTTCAAATATGATATGACTTTTTAGGCAGTTAGTTTTCTAGTATGAATCTTGACTGAGGGCATGAATTTCGATGCACTAAATGAACAATACTTCAGTGAGTTTTGGCTCATCGGTTTACGGGTTCGAACACCGCTCCATCTGTCGAGGTTTAGGCAGGCAGGTAATATCATTAACTCGCACACAATAGGTGTGACTCATTGCCTACTGCACGAATGTGCACGAAGTTGTTGAGTGAATTTCCAAGTCGGCTATGAAACTTTCCCTGTCTAACATTCTTTTAGCTATTAAACTACTGTTTATACATCATGTATTATGATTTCTACGGTTAGCACTGGTAGTGAAAGCTAAAAAGCAGTTTAACAACTCATCAGAGACTAAGGTCATATTCAGTTAGACGAATTCCCTTCTTTCCTCGGCTTTTTGAGCATGTTAGCTTTTCCTTTTTTGATGTAACATTTTATGATTGCACATAGGGTGACTGACTGACTAACAAAAGCAACTTAGAACTTCGCTTACAGGTGCATCGACTCAAATTGCCATACTCGATAGTAGTACACAACGAATAGGTTGATAGGAAAGAAATGTTATCAAAGTAGGCAAAGTACTGTTTAGAGAATAGACAATCTGAAGATAGAGGTTAGTGCGAATATTCAAACTTTAAATGTCAAGGAGTAAATACATCTGCACCAATGTCACCGATTTTCAGACATATCACCAAGAGTCCTCAACCATCAATCCCCGTCGTCTCGCGTACTCTAAGCAGACAGTCGACATTGGCCCACACAAATCAGACCAATGATCATAAACTTCATCGACTAGTGCCACGTCTGGTCTGGTCTGGCCACCCTGAACCTTCATCCAACCTAATCCAAGTTCTAGCATGGCACGTCGAGGTAGGCTGTCGCTCGGCATATGCAGTACATGTTCAAGCCATCAACTTGCACACCTTGCTTAGTGTCCTTCACCCAACCTCAACAGTGCTCAAATGGGAATTCCATCAAGTGCGAACAACGTTATAGTTGTCTTCTGTTTATTGTATTTTAACAGCTGCGAAGTGGGATAACTCATCGATATGAACTCATTTCAGGTAGAATACTGTTGCCCATCACAGCACAGTATCAACAATTATACTTGTACAGCATGCATCTTCCAGTTGGATTACTGAGTTTATACGAATCGGAATTTTGTCATATATATCCTACATGATCCTTATCTATCTGTCGTTTTAATAAATTTGACGAGCGAGTTGATACCTTTTGAGTGAATCACTCGTTTCCATTTCTGGCCCTGATAATAGTGTCCCCTGTAGCTTATGAGCTGCAAACTGATCGTTATTTACTGACATCAACGTTTTCACTACTCTTTCATCTACTCACGGTTGATACAATCCCATCATAGTTCTTCTTTGATGTGTATTACACAATGAAAGAGTATCATTTGTAGACGACATTTTGAGAATACTTTATTACTCATGATCATATCAAGATAATCACACATTCACTCTTTGATTTAATTGGTGGAAGAAGTTTCCACACATCCGTTGTATCATTTCTGTTACATATGTCAGACGTTGATTTGATAAACAAAGCTGCAGTTATCAATTTAAAATAGTTATCGCATTCCAAATTGTTGTGTGATTGTGTATGACAGAAAACATGGGTGTGGCTAATCTCTTCCCTAGACTTCTTATTTTATTGGTGTCTACCATTCTCTGTTTGCTTAGGTTTCTATGTTCTGCTATCCTAATTAACGTTGTTGGATAGTTTGACCCATGTGCTTGACTTCACAGTCATTACATGAAATTTATTTGGCAGGATCCTTTGATGGACAAAGTCTGTAGATCAATCTATAGGCTTAGGTGCTACTCTAATGCCGACCTTATGAAGAATCCTAAGAAAAAGTAGGCCTGCTTATGTCTCTTTTATGTGGTAAAACTGTGGAGATTTTCACCATGGTTCCACTACCAATGCTTTGTGTCTGTAGTTTGAATGTTCCTATTACACCTTATTTGTTTCTGGATAAACTGATGGGAGAGTAGCTGTTGAATAATAGTACATACTTTTGGAGCGACTTTAATGGCCACAGCTTCAGCTGATATAACAGCCAATCAGCTGTCGGTATTTCGGCTGGGAAGGTGGTTATTCTTAAAATGGAGAAACATGATTGGTTGTCTCAGAAGTTGTTAGCGTGGTCTACCTTTTTTGCGTTTCATTTCATGATTTTCATTTTCCACCTTATCACTCATTTTTCGATTTGTGTTTATTTACAAAGGCCTTGAATATTTCTGGGTCGTTTTAGGATAGCATACCTTATTGGTCTTTTGAATTAGGGGGTTTGTGAGGATTTAGTGATTTTTCAAGTTGGTGTTCATCATGGACTGACGTCAGTTGAAGGAACATTAGAAACCTGGGAGCACTGGACAGCTGTTTCGTCCTAGTATGGGACTTCTCAGCTGTGCTCACCCATGACCCCATCCTGCCAGGGACCGGACCCAGGACCTTCAGGTTCCGTGGCCAACACGTTACCACTGAAACACTGGGTCGGATTTCAATAGTCCATATATTTAACTTCTGTTTTAGTTTTTGTCTCTTCAATCAGTCTGATATTTACACCTTAGTTCACGTGCCTTTTATGGGAATTTCGAAGCAAAGGATCGCTTGTGAAAGGCTTCAGGGGCTTACTATCTCTTATGCGAATCTACGCAATCTTATTGCACACTATAACACCAAACCTGTCTTAGCTGACATCAGATGAGATTAACTAAAGTCTAAATATCGATTAAAGTCATAACAATTGACATCACGTGATCCTTTTAAGCAGGAATTCAAGTCTAGTAATGAATAAATCCTAATTAATTCTAGCCTTGTGTAACTATTTCATCTTGAAGCTACACTTTTATCTTATGTATTTATTTGAAATCTTCTCAGGTCTTATATGTATTCCTTACAGTGATTGTAAAAGCCATCCTAACGGCCACTGAAATAACAAATTAGAATTCTCGCTTTTATGAAAAACTGCCCTTATGACTGAAATATCGCAACCTGATTGGTTATTTTGCCAGTTACTACGGTTGACTTTAAAGTCATGCATAAACAATCACTATATAACAAATGACATGGTTCATGTAAGGTGAGAGGAGTTAAATCTAACTATTTCAGGAGATACTTATTGTTTCAATACATCATAACACATTGAAAGCTACAGATCACTAAATCGACATCAAAACCGTAGAGCTGTAGTTCATTGGTTTAGGGACTTGACTTTCAACCAATGGGCGACGGGTTCGAAACCCGCTCCACCTACGAAGGTTTAGGAAGCCAGGTATTAGTATCATTAGCCGTCTCACAATAGATGTGACTCATTGCCTACCGTATGAATGTGCACCGCTAACGCCTATAAACAGGCATTGTTGTTACACCTTATTCATCGAACTATGAAGACTATATAATTTCTGCCTGATTTGATTGAGTTGATTCACATACAGTAATTTGCACACCTTGAATAATGTTTCAAGTGAAGGCAGATAGGTACGTGATATATCACATTACTGACAAATATCTTAAATGATTATTTCTTTGTTATTAATATGGTTGTTGTTGTTGTTGGGTAAAAAAAATTTTTGTATCCGGAGTCATGTGAACACTTCGAATTATTGATTTAAAATATCACTGGTTTATATTTCTCTAATGCTTATTTTATAATATCTAGCTTCATTCATGTATGTTGATATTCTTTGGAATAAATTGTTCTACATGTCTTTTCACTGTACACTATACTTCACTTGCTTCCATCAAACATTTTAGATAGTTGTGACTCATTGATTCAAGGAATTGACTTTCAATCAATAGAACATGGGTTCGAACACTCCCAGTACCTGTTGAGGTTTCAGGAACCAAGTAGTATCAATAATGCTTTAAAAATCGGTGGAAGTTATTGTTTACTACACGAGTATATGTACAAGGTTAATGAATGCATTTCCATGTCGCCTCCTTAATTGTTTTCGTTCGATCGATGGGTAGAGCTGATGACTGATTTTATGTGAACATTTCTTTTCCTGTTTTAATTTTCACTTGTCAGTTTTCGAAAGTTTTTAAAAGATGTCTGTTATGGAATAGTGATCATAGTTGATGAGATATGACAGTTAAATTTTCATATTGTTTAGTCGACGTTAAGATTTTATTTTTGCATAAATGTAAACAGTTCTATGATGTGTTTTAACTTTAGACTTTTCAGAGTTATCACTTCTCCTACTGCATGAAGCCTTTGACTGTTGATCTGAGCCATGTAGGAAAATATAGGCTTCCTAGTTATCTTCCGCTTGACAATAGAAACCAGAGGTTGGAGGCTGTAGATGAAATGGTTGAGAATCAATCATAGCAGAGCAAATAATCCTCACACATTATCCTCATCTTAGTCATCACATTGAGTTCAATAAACTTCTTTATTCTTCTTTCCTCTTTTTTTACTACTTTCTACTGCTTTTCATCGATTCCTTTTCGTTTCTTCATCTTTTATCTTAGTGTTTTCTCGCTTGATGTTCTGCTAGGAATACAGCAATACCTGCTCTTGTGTTGATACGATAGATGATTTCTCTTATTAGGCTGTGGCACGTTGTATCTTACAGACCAGTAGGGCAAATTAGTGACTCAGTTTCACATATCAATAGCAATAGAGAACTGTCAACAAAAGAATCCAAGGGGTTCAACTTATTAAGTAAAATTAGATGTTATGTAATAAGAAGTTGTCTTTTCAAAGATTCGCTACAAAAAGATGTTTGTTGTTTAACGGAAAAGACGAGTACTTTCACACTGCTGCTGTTCAACGCGAATAATTTTAGTTGATGTATAACTTCACTGATCGTTGGTATCCTGACTGAGATGCTTCTCTCAATGAAATATTACAGTTGATTGTTGTGTGTATGTGTGTAATGTTCCAGCTACTTCAATTCATACAAGTTGGTGATGTCTGAAGTTGTCTTTCTTCCTCTGATATGATCTACTAACTTTACTGGCTGTTCTTAAGTTGTTTGCCTTCATGGGGCATATGGATTTTAAAATTTTACTCTTATGTCATATGTGGTGTAAAACAACAAGATCAAAGTAACACTGCTGAAGCGCCACGTATTTACAGTCACTGCTTTCAGAGGGCTCCATTTGATTGTCAAATTTTAACAGTAACAAATCTTTGTGCTTTTGCGAATCTTCAGCTTATCAATAGAAAATCTTTTACTTCTCAAAATTTACGCAGCAACCTGGTACACATTCGCGTAGTACGCAATTAGCGAAATCTATTGTGTGAGAGTTATTGATACTGCATGTCTGCCCTAAGTGAAGTGGGGTTCGAACGCTTAACCCAATTGGTTGAAACTCAAGTACCTAGACCAATGAGCCACATTTCCACCTGGTAGCTGTATTACATTACTGAGGACTTTACTGTTCGAGTGTATAGCTCCCAGTAGTGTCACACATCTACTAGATGCCGTTTTCATTGAGTTATACTCCAGTTAACTGGTAGACGTCGTATTTACGTTAGATTTCTACATGTTGAAGAGTGATGATTTGAAATCTTTTCAATCAAACTTGGATTTTTTAGTTTGCTTGGGGGTGGCTAACAGGTTTCGTCCTACTTGCGTCTTGTCAGTTGGATGTGCCTCCACCCCAGTGAGTGATGTTTTTTTTTCACTGGGACTCGAACTCGGCACTCATCGCTCAAAACACCGAGACGTTATCCACTAGGCCTCTTGGTCACGACAGTCGCCTCTTGTACAATGGGTGTCAGTTATTATTATTATTATTAGCCACTGATGGACCAAGCAAACTACAAACATAATCAACAATCAGGTAATACTGAGGTATCCATATCAACAGAGGTTGATGAATTCAATCCAGAGTAACAGTGGGGAATTACAAGTTTTCAGTGTTGGTTTCCCTAGGGTTTCATTCATCTGCCAAGTGATTATGAACCTAAGAAACTGCTTATTTGATGGTCACTACACAAGAATCTTCCTTTTTTTTAACATGAAGAGATGGTGAGCTTTGAAGAAAACCGTCTGAATTTAGTATTGTAACTAATATTCTAATCAGTCCTAGAATTCCGTTCATAGACCTGAGGATATAGTGTTTCACTCCACTTAACGTTTATAACAACCATCCAAACAGATGTTTGTTGGGTTACATATAAGACTAGCAGTTACTGTTTATCGCTTCTTCAATATGGAATTTCGATAGTACCGAATAGGTATATATCTTATTGGATGAACCTTCCTACTTAGATCTTTAAACGTGGGATGCATTCATGCATGCTACTTCCCGCCTAGTGAGTGTTTTTTTTTCATTTAGCGTGCAGTAGTAACGTTGAGCGTCCGAGGGTGACATGAAGTAGATCGTGTGAGGAAGAAATGTAAGCTTATGGGCAGTCGTGGGGTCAGGTTAAAAAGACTGCAGAGAACAGAGTGAAGTGGTGACGTGCTACTGAAGCTGTATGCTCCACTAGGAACCCCGGGGACAAATAATAATGATAACAATGACGATAATAATAATGATGAGTAACGTTTGAGACTTGTCTCATGAGTTTTAGTGGAGCTCCAGGAGACTTGGATTGTGAACACAGTTTACTTATGTAATAGTGGAGGAAGAACTTGGTAACTGTATACAAGGTGTGTGGATAAATAATATTTACCAGTCTTGTTGTGGAAAATTATTTTTTATTGAATTGTGTAGATTGCATTTATTTGGAATTATTGGTCTATTGTGCTTGAGTGCAAGACAGCAAAGTATCTGAGGTATTGTTTACGATTGATGACGCAAATTTTATTGGTGCCATTTTATTTTATGGAATTTCATCCAAATTCCAACAATGTCACATCTGACTTTTGTAACTTTTTCCTTTCACAAGAAAAAACTGTTACTCAAAGCGGTCATAGTGTGAAGCACTTCGATACTGCTATACATGTGTTCAGTTAGCAAGCTTGCCGCACCCATAGATTTAGAACGTTCTTCATCTGTTACGTTTTGAAGGAACAAGGTTGGTGACTAGCTTCGAGAAGTATTCCCGAAGTTCCAATGACAAGTCGTGACCGGTGGAGTCAAGCCTGATGGCCGTGAGGACAAATACTCAACGATGACATTGGGTGGCGGTTTGCGCTATATCGTGAGCTAACAGAAGTTGGAAATATGGAGCATTGGATTCTGACCCAGTGGCTCAATGGTAACGCGCTGGTCGCGGAGCCTGAAGGTCGCGGGTTCGATCCCTGCTGGTGGGGTCGTGGGTGCGCACTGCTGAGGAGTCCCATACTAGGACGAAACAGCTGTCCAGTGCTCCCAGGTTTCCTTTGTTCCTCCAACTGATGTCAGCCTTTGATGAATAACAACTTTTGATTTATTAAAATAGGTGAACTAAAATCATCTTAGTATGGCAGATATATCAAAAACACAGTGAGTATCATATGGTATCGATTTCCAGAAAAAAAAAGTTTTTAAGTTTGTCATTTGTGAAAAATCAACGTTACTATATATGGAATTTATGCAAACATCATGAATCATATAACTTTTGATAATGTAAATATTCAGAATATTTATTGATGTTTACTTCTAATATTTATGTTAACTTATTCATTTCTGATTTCTTTATTTCAGTTCGATGATGCCGATGTTTTGGCTTGGAATTTGGGTTGCCCAGCTGATAGAACTGTAAAATTGATTGCTATTGTTGGTAATACAGGCGATGGAAAGTCACACACTTTAAATCATGCCTTTTGTGGTGGTAACAGTGTATTTGTAACTTCAGCTTCCCAAGTCACATGTACCATTGGGATATGGGCAGCCTATCTGCCCAAAGAAGGCTATCTTCTTATAGATACTGAAGGTTAGTCATTAAAATTATTGATAATAAAAGAAAAATTTTTTTTTTTGTTTTACTGCATGTTGAAGAAAAAACAAAATAAATTAATATTTTGTTTTAGTCGAAAAAAATATCTTGCCTACACATATGTTTTGTTGAAGGGGGTTAACTTTGATCCATAAGTTTTACATTAGTCATATGATTGCATAATATGAAAATGTATATAAAAGTGCATGTGATTATTTCTACGTTTTATTAACTATTGATTTAATCCCTTTGCATATACAATCCCAGGAATTAAATATCAGCAATGGGAACTAGTTACTTCTTGTGATGATAACTGCTGGACAGAATATTTTCTATCAGTAGAACCTACTACTGTAGTGGGCGTTGCTGATAAGAATAGATATAAGTAGTATGTGTTGAAAGAGTGGCAGAAATCAGAGGGAATTGCCCACAATGGGTAAGGATTCTGCTAAGAGAAACGAAAGGCATAACACAGACGTATGAAAAGCAAATGAAGAGAGAAGCAGAAGAGAAAATGGAGCACATTTTGTAAATAATGGTTTTAGTGCAAGGTGTACCAGGTTAACAATAAACATTCCTTCCTTCTTTTTGGTCTTCTCTTTTTCTTCACTATCTACCTACCTACTGTTCTATAGAGTAATTTCCTCCAATTACTGAGTGAGATTTTGGCAAACATGAAAATCTCCAAACAGGAGTTTGGAGCAATAAGGTTTTATTATCACGTCTTGTTATCTTCCAAAATTGAATCTAAAGAGGAAGCAAAAGTGTCATATTATTTATTTATACTTATAGTCTCCTTTTGTTACTTTAGTCTACTTGATGGTTATCAGCGGAGTTCAAGACGTGTGTTTCGTCCTGTTTGGGACTCTTCAGCTTGATCTACATGGATTCCAGAGAGTGTTGTCGTCCCCACTGAGACTCGAACCCCGTACCTGTTGTTTTATTGGATCGAATTGACCAGCTTCTGTTGGCTTATAGACGGCTCCTATATAGATGCTTTGCTATTGAACTTTCATTATGAGTGACTTTAAAAGTTACCATAATAATTATTAAAGTGGCCATTTAAGTTTCTGCATTTTTCAGCGGAAATATAAATATCTAATAGGTTATTTCAGTAGTTGTTAGGGTGGCCTTTAAGATCATTCTAACTTTTACTGCTAGCCATCACCAAATAGATTATAGCATAATAGCGTCAGATAGATGTTGATCAACTCGGAGATTTCACTAAAAGTCTCTCATATTATCTGTTTCCTAACAGTCAATCTAAACAAATGACGTCATCATGTAATCACATTTTCAGGCAATTATGGTTTTTAAAGATACTATGTTTGCAGCGCTCGATGATTTTTTTTTTACTTTCCTTTGCATTCAGATGTGGATGTGTAGAGAAGTTTTGATTATCTGTGATGAAAATAGAGGTATTCCAAAACGACTCAACTCTCCTAAGAATGTTTCACCTAGGATTTGTCATATTTCATATTTTCGAAGAAATATTTTTCTTAAAGATGATTGTATACCCTCGAATTTTATCTTGTCTTGTTAGTAGCATTTAAGCTTACTTACAGTTGCTTCGACGATTAGACTTCGACCGTTTATATTCCATATATACACATAGTCTTTAATTGTTCGGTTGAAAAGGTTTTTTTTGGAGTTCGTCGACAGATCAGATGCTGAAAGTCAAGACGTACTGTATATTTACAAGTCCGTTCTGGTGTTCATACTTTGTATCATCCGGTTTTCTCTGTTTCTTTTCGAATTCGGTTTTAGGTTTTCAAACTTATTTACGGTCATGTCATTCTTTTAAAAACTACAAATGAAATTTTTTTATATTTGGAAGTATGTGGAGATTTATTGATTTTCAGGTGGTTTTCACCATAGACTGATATCAATTGAAGACCTGGGAGGACCGTTCATCTGTTTCGTCCTAGCACAACACTCCTCAGCAGTGCACACCCAAAGACCTTCAGGTTTTGCTGCGAACATGTTACCATTGAGGCAGTGGGTCGGGATTTTCCAATTGTCATCTGGCTTTCATATGGTTACTAAATTATATTTTTAGCAGTGGGTCGCTACTTTTATATGTGGACTTACTGTCTTTAGCCTGAATATAATATTAATTATGAACCATGTTTAGAGCTGCTGGTCAGGACTTCTGAAATGCTAATTTCTTTATTTCTTTAAAAAAAATAGGTTTACTTGGTGCCAGCCCTAATCCTAACCGACAACGGCGTTTACTGTTAAAAGTATTTGCATTAGCTGACGTGGTTATATATCGTACCATGTCAGATCGTCTTCATAGTGATATGTTCACCTTTTTAGCAGATGCAAGCGATGCATTTTCAGAACATTTTCGTCCAGATTTAGAGGCATTAGCTGAACGTACTGGTCTACCATGGACGCCTGGTCAACTAGGCCCAGTTGTTGTCGTGTTTCAAGAGACTCAACACACACTTCCACTTGATGAACCTCGCGCTATGACTGCGGGGAATAATGATGGATGTAATGATCGTTTAGGATCAGCTGAACCATCTAACGAAAGAATGTCTGCTTTGAGTGAGTTTTAGCGCTTTTTTTTGTTGCTTCCCTGTTGGTTTTTTTGTTTGAATTTACAATATTTTGAGAGATTGAATGGCATAGAGATTGGAAAGCATATCGTGTATCGTGTTTAACCGTATTGTATAGTTAATAAAGTAAGCTAAGAATGAATCCTGCCTTGAAAATTCCTGGGGTATATCCAGGTTAAGCAAAAAAGCATATCTATACAGTTGGTACAAAATAATGAAGACGGCTGGTCAAGTACTAAAAATATATCGCAGTTGTTGTTCAAGAGGTGGTTCTCGCGCCCCTGTGACCTAGTGGATAACGCTCTGGCATTTGAAGTGATGCATGCTGCGTTTGATCTCATTGCGAACAACACCACTCACTGAAGTACAGACACATTCAACTGACGAGTCCTAAATAGGACAAAACGCGCATCCTGGATTCCACTGTTAGCCAGCGAGTGGACTACAGTATACATGACAGTGGTTTTTGTAGTAATGATCACTTGGTGTTGATTTTATCGTAACAGGCCTAGAAATAGCTCGACACATAATATTCTTGTCACGCTTTATGCATTGTTTTATGATTCGATATTGATTTGACCTGATACTAAATCCCTGGTTCATCGTATGTGTACTATAAATACTTGTTACATTTTACCTGAATATCCTTACTTTATTATGGCGTCAACTTGTAACTTAAGTGTACGATTAAAACTTTGGCGTTGTGGTAAAGTATAATATACCATATTCATTTAGTTGATAGGACTAAAATATTCTGCCGTTTTACAGCTGTGCCTAAATGACCTTGGACTGTTCAATCAGAAGCGAGCAAGTTGTTCACTTTGCATATAAAAGCTCTATAAAAAAACATCAAAGAGCGATTTATATCTCATATAAAATAAAGTAGAATCTGCTCGGTTTTCATATTTTCTGGGTGAAGTATTGAATACCTTTCTATTAGCTAAGAGTTCTGTTCAGAAATATTCGTCTTCTTTTACGGATCGATATTTAGTAACTAAAGCTAGGCTTCAGGATGGAGTAGTTAGGTCTAAAGTTTCATTGTTTGGCTTTTAAGATGTAGGAGTTTAAATATTTCTTTGTTTTACAAGTTATTAAAGAATGCTATCTTGCTTTTATTGGGATTCAGTAATAAGAATAAGGGTCAAGATGTCATATGGTAAGGATATTAGTGTTAGTTTGTTACGTAATATGGGCTTTTCACTCCTGATCTCTTCAACTTCGGGACAACATGAACACTTGAAGAGTTAATTCTTCTGTCTTTTTCAATTTATTTCATATTAGTGTTTGTAATGACGGTAATTTGACTCATTTAACCGCTGTTTCGCTCGTCTGAGGCCGAGCTAGCTCATCAGCTGTGCAGTCCGATCGGTTGGGCTCAGAGGACCTGAATTGTTTAGACCAATAAAATCTGGTTAACGTGCTACCTAGGGAAATAGCCTTCCGGTGTTTAGATCACTTTCATCTTGTTAGTGAAATTTATAGATCAGGCTGGATGGTTCTCAACTGTTCGTCTTCTTTAGTAGTATATTCCGTAAGTTCGGGACACTCTTGTTCCAACGGGAACCCTGTTGACACCGTAGTTTGGCAGTTGAAAAACTGCTTAGCTGCGAGAAATGTCAAGGTGGACTGTGCAATTTGTTAATAATTTGCAAATCAGTAATATGATTCTTCTGCCTGATACAACTTGATGTGTAAGGTAATGACCCAATCTTCTTGTTTTTGGGCTAATGCTCACTTGCATAGACCTGAAGAAAATGTAACCTTCCATGGTGTGAACAGTCAGCAAATGCCAAACACCCTCACAACTCTATCAGTTTACGAGTTCCTTCTGATTATATCGACCTTTCGCACTTTGTCTTATGATTTTTATCATATTTATCGGTCAATATTCCTGTTACTGCTAATTTCCTCCAATTCTCGAACTTTTGATAGCGACTCGAGTGTGCAGAACAGCAACACTGATCTCCAGAAGCCTCACTCTAAGCTACATATTAGAACTTCCACTATCTGCATCCTCTGTCAAATCGAGCAATAACATTTTCTGATAGAACCTGTGGCATCTTGAAACATGGACGTGTACTTTGTTTGTGATACCCACAAGCAGGACCCAAGTGGGGTTAATTTACTTGACCGTGTCAAACCAGTATGGTGAATCTGTGAAATTCATCTTTTCAGTTTCTGGAGATTCTATGGATAGTCTTGCAGGTGTAGGTTTAACAGAGGGTGCGAAGGTAGAAAGTGCATTGTTCCAGTGGATCTCAGTTGTCAGCCACCTGTATGTTGTTTGACTGAACGGTACAGTGAGGACTAGAAAGAATAGTGAACTCGCCACTGTCTTTCTAATCTCTGCTTACTGTACTCACTGACTACCGTTAGGATGAATTCCGTTATGACTTTGCATAGGTAGTACTTGTTTGATGCATGTAGTGTTACCGATTCAATTCCAACACACATAAGTCTAGACAATTGTCTACTTTAATTAAGAGAGTTACCGGTTTCGTGAACCGCTACTTATTAGGAAAGAGTGATTTATATAGGTTTTAGTTGAGAATCCTTTAGCACATAATCTATACTTCTTTGTTAAACTAAAAAGTTTTCTATTTTGATGTTGGATGTATGGTTATTTTGTGATCTGTGTGTTAAAATTAATTTCTCTGTTTCACTTAAGGACAAATATGACATTGTTAAACATATTTATCCATCTAGTTGTATGGTAGATGTGTTAGCCAGATTCACAGCGGCAAATATTGTCACCTGAAGCTGTGATGAGTAAAATATCAGTGTTTGTTGAATCGTTTTTCTTCTATACTACTCAATAGAATTTTTAAATTGATCGGCTACATTCTTATTTGACTAAAATATAGAATGATAATAGGACATATACTTTTCTATTTTTGGAGTTAATTCAGTATCATTCAAGCGATAACTCGCTATGTAGTTATTACAAGCTTTAAATGTAGCGAAAGTTACATCAACGAAATGAAAGACACTTTATATGCATTCATCAACGTATGACATACACTGTATATTTCAAAGGCCTCAATCAAGGAATGTAACTACTGATTTTTTATTTTACCGCTTTCTCAACTTCTACAAGTGTTCGTGTGCCTATCCCGATATTTCAGTCAGGATTCGACCGGATAGAGGGCAACACAATAGTAGCTGAAGGCCAGTTTAACTATCCCTTGAAGTGTTCTGCTCATCGTTCCAGTCGTTTCCTCTGCGAGTAGGTCGCAAACCCATCCTTCTACAATATAGTCTCACTAACCGTTGACATTTTCGCCCCAGTCTTACTTATAAGTCTAAACAATTGTCTACTTTCATTTATCTCCACTACCTTCTCCACCTCTGTAGACTTCGCTGCCCATCACTGTTCACGGTCATTACGGGGACTTTTTGTCAGTCTACATTTGAGTTACTTTCACTCCTCATTGTACTCAGAGCCTCGAGGGATGCATTCACGTGCATCAACCAATTCAGAAGCTACTGATATCCACTGGGGTTTATTTAGGATGAAGTGGAGGATGAGTTGTTACCGTTCTGCGCAGTAGTACTTGGCTAAAGCACGTGATTCCTCTCGAACACACTTCCCACACTCCACATGCTCAACTCACCCACACGATGAGTCACATAATCTAGCCCTTCAAATCTGGTACAATAGAACACGATGTCTCTGGTGATTATTCTCCATGTGTGTTGGCCATCTGTATCATGTGTATATGCAGCTGAATTTCCTATCCACAAGGCACCATAGTTCATCTAAACTACGAAAGCAGCGGATTCCATGAAGAGAAAATGAAGTAATATGCAACAACCAATTCCTTTCAACAGGCAGTTATTTACGGACTATATGTCAAATACAAATCAGTCAAAATATTTTGAGCCGACGTGCTGTATAATGTTACCGATTGAATCATACTTGAAACACATTTTAAAGGAGATTGAATAATACGACGAGAAGTAATTATCTGAGATTCATGCTGATATAATAAGTACTGCCAAAAAACTATCCGATCTTCTATTCTAGTGAAAGCCAAAATCTTAGATGTGGTTGTTGTAGCAGACGAGTTGCAATATACAAGTGTGTAGGCTAAGTCAAACAGAATGATACTTTCGAAATCTCAGCCGAATATGAAGAGATACCTGCAAGAGTCTGTTACAACTGTGTTCAGACAGTTATCTATTTCTGACCAACATGAACGTCAGATAGGAAGGGAGATGCCATATGACTACTTGTCCACAAACCTCAATTTGACAATTGACCTAGATACACCATGTAGCTTTGAGTTATCGCTGAAGAGGAGGATCGGTGGAAAACTGTTGCACCTTCTGAAGCACATCTTTGAACAGTGATCAATCATTGGTTTGAGCATGTGTGTCTGTGCAAAGTGGGTGTGGAAAGACTACAGGGAGAAAATCAATCTGAGCGAAGGTCGATGATGAGAATATTGAGAGTGTGTTTAACAGGGAAGTGACTAGACACTTATTGGAGCAAGACAACTACAGTTATCTCGAAGAAGCTTGATACTATCTCCAGTATTTAGGTTTCTAACAGACTCTCAGAAAGTTGTTTGTAAAGGTCAATGAACTTTAGCTGTTTCTCCTGAACCAGTAGATGCACATGAACATATTACTGTTTGCTTTGGGCACAATGAGGACGGTAGGGGAATTGAAGATAGACTGATAAACAGATGATGCATTGACGGTGAGGAGTGGTGGATATTGAAGAAGAATAATGAGGTTGGAGAGACCGTGGTGATATGTAACAGCAGCCAAATATTTATAATTGTCAAGGGAACTAGGGCAAATAGATCAATGATTGATGGGACTGTGGGGTAGAATTATGGGTGTACGACTCATCTGAAGGTGTGAGTACCGAAACGATGAGTGGAACATTTCCAGTAACAGTTCAACTGGCTTCCATACACTCCTAGATTGCCTCCTATCCATCCAGTCGGATTATGAGTGGAACGCAAAGATATACCCTCCAACGTTTGCAGGAGTCGAGGAAGCTGTGAGTAACCTGAGACGAGACGACGATGGGCAGCAGAGCCAGATGGGTTAGTGTCAAAGGTATTCGATGACGGTAGGCTGGATCACTGGTTGGATTAACTGGGGTGTTAGTTGGCATGTGGGAGTCAGGCATGATCATCTCTGGCTGATTTCGATCATTGACTATCCGAGTCATGAGGTTTTCCAGAAATTGTCTTGTGATAACCGGTGAGGAATCAATGTGATAAACATTGTGTCTAATATTTTAGCTTCTGTACTTACAAGACATCTGAATGTATGTGCTGTCACTATTTTTCTTTGAATTTGTCATGCACGTACATGTGGAGGCCTCCCTTGCATCATCTAACTACTCTGACTAGTCTTATCAATGAGTACTTCTTAGTAGACTTAGAATACACACATGACATGTCCCCATTAGTTGAAGACGCTGATATGAAGTAGAATGGACTCTGTAACTTTCGATACACATTCGTGCGATCGACGTTTAACCACCTGTTGCGTGAGGGCATATGATGCTACTTGGCCGACCATACCTCGGTAGTTGAGTTGGGTCTCGAACCCGTTACCCAGTGATTGAAGACGCTGACAAGATGAGGAGTCTAGCTAGCACGTCATTGGGCAATTTGAAGACATTTAAAATGTGTATCCCAGCACCTCTGTTCAGATAGTGGCTCCGTGGCTTTTCTTTATTGATGGCTTGTTCCAATAGGTCTCTTGTCTGAAAAGATGAAGTGGAGTGCTTTAGCGCTTTTACCATTTCACTTGAAAAGTCTAATCAGCCTTGATGGTTGGGTAGTAACCCTCAGGATCTCGGCAGGGATGCAAATGACTCGCCTTGTTTTCGTCAAATTACGGCACTTATCTCGCCATAGTGGATACCTCGTCGCTCATGAAAGACCAAGTGTACTGCACTACAGTTCGTTATAATTAATTATAAAGCTGAGAAACGTGGCCACCAAAGAAAGGGTATATGATATGGCTTTTGGTATTCTGTAATCGTTGTCTTAGTAGCGTATACCGTGTGCTAAGTCATTAGTTTCGTGGAAAGTAGGTATAGAGTCTAGGATAGAATAGGAGCGAAAGCTGGTTGGGTTTGTGAACGTGAGTTGTCTCAGGTCGCTGGGAGAGGTGTTACGCATGCCTTGTCTACCTCGTTACACAACGTTATCTGAAGTAAGCGTACGCTGGAAAAAGATAGGAAACAGTCGAAGGAAAAAAAAGGATCAGTCTATGAAGTCTTTAACTGTTGGTCTAAGCTTTGTCGGGAAATGTGGATTACCTGGTTGGGATCCGAGTGACGACCAAAGTTAGTAGTTGGAGACTAGGTGATATGCAGGTTGTAGTGGGTCTCAATGTCGCAGAAGTATGTACACATTGTCTTTATTGCATTCGTTATACAGAATTTCACTTTCGTCTCATTTCTTCTGTTCTTTCCCTCACAACTTTTTCTGATTTTGGGTTAACATTCAGTTGTCTGTTTATTTTCTGTTTTGGTACTGCTCAGCATCAAGTACTGATATTAGCTGCCGTAACTTAAACCGTTACAGTGTAGTGCTGGGTCCTACGCGGATGTTAGCGAACTGGCTGGAATGGGTTATGATCCCAGAAGCTGTTACTGGAAAATCGAGTGCTGAAGCCAGTGAACCACAGCTCATAATGTGATATTTTTGCTGTTTCATAGTATACTCTCTTGTAATAAGTCTTTATCTGTGCTTTTTAATTTGTTCCAGTTACATGTACATAGTCCTTCTAGAAACTTCTTAGCAGTATCATTAGTATCATCGCTACCGTTATTTTTATTATTGAGTTATTGTTTGTTTTTGTCTGTCAAATTTCTTAATATAGGTTCCAGGTTTCTGACAGAACGTCTTGTGGCAATGAGGCGTAATGCCAATGCATTTTCTTCACTTGTGTATGTTGGAACACAAACTAAAGCGCCACCAACAAATTTCCAGGTAAGCCTTTCTGCTTAACTCTTTGATCTAGTTGATTTCTGATAGCTGTAACTAGTGTTTTCAACTGTCTCTATTTTCATGTTCCAACATGTTATCATTACTATGCTGCTTGTTGTATACTTTTTAATAGTATGATAGTAGTGATTACTGGTTATTGTACGTTGACTCATACACCGCAAATCATTTTAACTGACATATTTTCCGATATTCTCTGCATCTTGGGAGTTAAATAACAGTATCTGGCGATACCATCTCTCAAGAATTACTACACATTGTGTAGATATGACATTTTGGGTTGAAGCATTTGACTTTCAACCAAGGTATCCTGGGTTCAGATAGAGCGTTCCCCTCTTTGCTATCGTAAACTCGAAATCAGTAATCAAAATCCACTCAGCAACCCTACACAGATTCATGCATTGGACAATGTGCCAGACCTATATTTTGTGTTAGCTAATGATATAACCTGGTTGCCCAAACCTCGGTAGGTGAAGCAGGGTTGGAACGCGTGATTCATTTGTCGAAAGTCAACTCTCTAAATCAATAAGCTACAACTCCACTTATCATAAACCTGGTACACAACAATTTTAGCTCACATTTTAACACATGTACAGTGTTAAGTTACATTATCATCATTTTCATAGATTCGCATAACGTTGAAAATATGTTGACGACTGTTTATTCAAGTTGTCAAAAATGTAAAAATTATCATCACGTAGCTATCATATCTTCATTATAATTCTGACTATCTGATATAGCCGCGGTTTGACAGACCAGTGTTGATACCGGGTGATGATTGGAGGTGAAATAAAAGTTTGAACCGCAGCCTAATTCAAACCAGTGACCACCAGGTTACCGGTCCGATGCTTTATCAACTGAGTTACGAGGTCCAGTTGTGTATGTTAGTGTATGCATAACGTGTTTTATTTTCTACCCTTTAAGGAAGAGTCTTCAAGCTATACTTATATATTCAGTATATAAGATTGAAAACAAATATGCCACTACCCTACACTCCAATTTAGTGAGAGGTTCTTTGACTGCATTTTTGTTTTCACAATTGTCGCCTATACAATGTGAAGGATAAACACGGTTGGATGAAAGCTACACCTCTTGAATCATACTTTTTTCCTGTAGCACAGACATATCAGACAACACCGAGATTAGATTGCACAATTTATTTGTATTTAGTATAAAATTAATCCTAACAGTAGTAGTGGTAACAAACAGTCACATACACTCAAATAGAATGGTTGTTTTCATCGTGATTGTTTAATGTCAATGAAATAGCGACATGAATCACAGCATTTCAAATCAAACAATAAGAGGTATGGTGTATATGCATATACGTGGCCTTCAAATGGATTTTTCTGCGTTGTGGGGGGGTGTTGTCTCTAAAGGGTGTGCGGAAATTTGTTGGTGGCAGTTCACTCAACCAGCACGCATTGAGAAGAAATCTCAGTATGTCTGTCTGGGATGCGTTTCGCTGGTACCTTTCAAATGTAAGATGATGCTGCATGACTGGTTTGCAACTATTCCCAGTTTAATGACAGAGAGAAGTGGTGGAATGTATCGACCGCCTCGTTTAGTTGGGGAGTTAAATCAGCTCAAACCGGCTGGTTGCTGATAAAATATCAGGTTGGATTAGGAAGGTTTATTTTTTAGCGTTTGTCAACTTGGGTCATCTGTGGTGCCGACTGGCGAGATATCCGATTACCTATCAAAGGATGAGTATACTGCACTCCAGTTCGTTCTCTCCTGATGTACGGCTGTGAGACATGGTCGTTGAAAGTGGAAGATATGAAGCGGTTACATGGTTTTTGGTCATATGTGTCTTCGTAGCATTGCTTGGGTTCGGTGGAGTCACCATGTGAGCAATGTCAAGGTAAGGTGAAGCATATTAAGGAAGGAAGGCCATTGAATTGATGAGGTTGTGGACCTTTATCAACTGGGGTGGCTTCAGCATGTGTTCCACATCTCGAGCCACCACCTACTTCGAAGTGTCATGCTGGAGGAAGTTGGATTAGCTTGGAAGAGGGTTCAAGGTGACTAGATCAGACCAGACCAGATGTGACACCAGTCGATGAAGTCCCTAGCTATTGATCTCACCCATGTGGGGAGATGTAGACTCACTGACTAGGTGGAGCCCACAAGACAATGGAAATCAGTTGTTGAAGACTTGGTGACATGGCTGAACATCGGTAACATTGGTGAAGATGTATTCACTCCTTGACATCTTCTAAAGCTTGAATATTCACACTAACCTCCATCTTCAGATTATTTATTCTCTCACATTACTTTACCTTCTCTGATATCACTTTTTCACTGTCCACCTGTTCTTTTTGTACTACTGTGAACCGTGTCAACTTGAGTTGATGGGTATGTGTGCGACCTTTTAAGTTGATTTTGTCTGTGTGTGTGACGAGTGTAAAAAAGATGCCAGAAAAACACTAACCGATGACTCAGTAGTGAAAGGAATGTACTTATGTTAGGTAGTGAGGGATGGTGGATAGACAGTAGTAGTTCACAACGATTCGTATTTTGGAGAAAATGGAGTTAAAACTGCATTGACCGGTCACTGGAGCGTAATAAATTTCATATTGTCTAGGCTTGAATGGTTTCCGGATTCTATCGGTTAGCAAGTGAGAAAAGTAGACAACATGTAACTTGTTAGTTTCCAGTGTTCAATCAACGCATCTAAGCTAGTCATACAGGGGATGAAGTCTCTGACTGTAGCACCAGTTGGGTGACGCGGTCTCGATTCTCTCAGGTGACACAAATTCCTTCAATTTTGCAGATAAGCCTTGCTGATGAATACACCAACAAGCACGAAACCTTGGTTGAGTAGGACTTTCTGCCGATGTCTTCCAGTTAACTCGTTAGTTAGCTAAGGATATAGATTTCAAGGTAGATCAGTTAGCTAATCATATCTGTGGAATTAACAAGAGGACAGTTCAGTGAAGAAACATTTTCTCTCGGTGAATCACTTTCAGAAGTTGTACATTCGTTGAATACAGTTACAATACAAATAATGTCCATCAATGTTTAATAGTTTACCTTTAAGATTTTCACCAACTTTTATTTTGTCACTTTAACTGTGTCTTTCTGAACATCTTTTTTCGAGCACTTAATTATCCACTTCTAGTATAGATGACAGTTGATCAACATTGTCTTTACTATTCATGAGGGTTATACTATAGAACTTTTCGAGATAGATGAAAAGCTCCTGAAAGTGATTTGTTGTGAGTAGAATTCTTTCCACTGAATAGTTTTTCGTTATCCGTTTCAGACTCTTTCGATGGTTAATAAATGACAGGGATTATATGACAGTGAATGAAGTCAGTGAGTTTCTGTGGGTTTTTTTTTATCAAGCTTGCAGTATCTGAGATAGTTCTGGGAAATTCTTCGTCATAGTTATATCCATCCAAATAATATCTTCCTAAATGGCTTACTCCGAACTTTATTGAGGAGACAAAATCTTGAATGCAATATCTCATTAAGGGAATATGCCTTATATTGATCATCAGGTGACAAACGTGACTCATTAAGACTGCACAGCTACATTTGTGTAAAGGTTTTCAGATGGTATTAGCGAACCCGAAGCTGATGAAAAGTCTCAAAAGAAACACATTTCGGATTGTGTCTTCCTGAAAGTCCTGAAAGAAAACAACACATTTAACTACTATAGTTTATTTATCTCTACATCCAAGTACCAAATGGTCCAGTTAGGCCTGAATTTCGATGATATTTGAGTAACTAGATAAACGAATTAATTCCAGCCTCCAATAAAAGTGTATGGAACAAATTTACTCAACTTTTTTGAAGCACTACCTTCGTTAATTGAGTACCAAAATCAAATACTACGAGGCTACTGTTAAAACAGTAAAGTGAAGCCCAATTCAATAAACGTTTGAAGAAGTATTGTTGTTCGATCCCGACAACGGCTCTCATGAATCGTAAGCAGTACGCTTATTGTTATTGTTATTTATTCCTTGGGTTCCTAGTGGAACATATGGCTTCAGTAGCACGTCTCCATTGCACTCACTTCTCTGCAATCTTTTGAACCTGGCTCCACGACTGTCCACAAGCTTTCATTTCTTCCTCACACACCATCTCCTCCATGTCACCCTTGGATACCCAACTCATCGTTTCCCCTTTGGATTCCACTCGACGGCCTGGCCTGGTGCGTGATGTCTCCGAATGGTCTTCTCAGTGTATGTCCAATCCAATCCATCTCCACTTTCTTCTGCATATTTGTTTGGCGACAGGTTCTTGGTTGTTTCGTTGCCAGCCAGAGTTCCTTTTTGCTTATTCTTATTATTCTGGCCATCTGATCTTCAGTATCGAGTCAGCGTAGGTGGCAGCTGTTGATGTGTGTCTGTAGTTTGTTGGAAATGCTTTTCATGACGCGCCAAGTTTCTGAACCACATAGAAGCACTGACTTGACTGAGTTGGTGTTGAAAATCCGGATGTTGTTCTTTGTGCTGAGTGCAGTATATCTCCACAGTGATTCCAGGTTGATGAAGGCCTGTCTTGCTGTCTTTCTGATCCTGACTTTGACGTCCCCGTCTGTGCCGCCGCCTGTAATTGAAACAATGCTGCCTGCCTAGGTAGGTGTAAGTGAAAGAGACTGCTTCTTTTAGGTTTCTCCCGTTGATGGTGATTGGTGCTTGTTGTTGTTGCCGCTGTCGGCTGGGTATCTACATCACCTCTGTCTTATCTACGGTCACCTGAAGTCCCGTCTTCACTGCCTTGCCTCTTCTGTCAACTTGTTGGTTTTTGCCTGTAGATCTTCGAGGTCGTGCGACAAGACATTATACATAAATCATCATCGGTGGCGAAATCCAAATCTTCTGGGGTCTTTTCAGCGATCCATCGCTCCTCACGGTTTGCTGCATGATCCAGTCGACCACAATCAGGAAGATGGTTGGTGGTAGTAGGCAGCCTTGTCTTACTCCTGTCTTCACTTCAAAGATGTCACTGAGCTTTCTATTGTGAATCACTTA